AAAATAGATACTCACATATATTTCTTTTATTCTTCGTCGTTCCGGAAGTTGTCTTATGACGACATACATTCTTTTAAATTAAAGTTTGACTGATTAAATATGAATTAGAAAGAACAGAAGCATACATTTTCTTTTCTCTTGAGTATATTAAAATTCAAGAAACTAACATTGTTGTTTTCACCTATGCTTCAAGGCATCATTTTTCTCGTTATACAATAATAATAATAATAACAAATCAATATACTTTCTCATTGTCTAATTAACAGTTTTTGTTTTTTCTTTCACTAACAATAAGAATAACAATTTACACCCAGCGGCGAATATGAATCTCGATCTAATGAATGAATTTTTCACATTCAAATCATTTTCGGATAGTTTTAGTAAATAAGATGAACATAAAAAAATTTTTTTTTTTTTCAATAGAACAATTGAAAAATAATGTTTGAGATAAGTTTGATGATTATTTTCTTGATTTATCTCATAAAAAAAAAAAAAACAAACATAACAATGAATAATTATATTATCTATAATCAACTAAATCCTGTTATATATGAATATGTATGTGCCTTTTTTTTTTCGTTGTCTCCCTTAATTAGTTTTGTGAAATGTTTAGTAGTAGAGCCTCTGAAAAACTCATCGAGTCTCCTATTACCTTTGTTGTTGTTGATTTTCATCATCTCCATTGAATAAATGATCATCAATCATGGATTCTTCAACTGCTATAATAATTTAGAAGAGTAAAAAAAAAACTAAGAGATAAATATTCTATATATATATTTCTTTCTTACTTTCTTCATTTTGTTGTGTTTCAAGATTTGTACATTTCATAGTGATTCGTTTATTATTTTGTTCGTCCTCTGAATTTTCATTCGTCAATATAAGATTATTTGATTTATTAATAATTGTTGTCGTTTTTTGTTCTTTATCAATATGTGTAATAGTTTCTAAATGGATAAAACGAATAAAATAAAATAAAATTTCACACATCAAAAACGATATCATTATCCAATAATTCGTACAATATATATATTTCACTTCTGTGCATGATTTAAAGAAATAAAAATGATAATGAATATCTCATCTATATATATAGTGCTCTCATTGCTACCTCAATCTGTCAAATGTGAAAATGACTTACTCGACATGCTTGTCTTGTTCTTATTCAAATGAGAAGACATGAAATTGTCGTTGAATGAATTTTATCTTTCTCTCTTGTTTTCTCTCTCTGTCTCCTTCTTTGCCTGTTTCTTTTTCTCATTCTCTCACTCACCTGAATATGACATGAGAATAGAGATGCCAATATATTTCGTTCGTTCTCTTTTTATATCATGATTCCACCCGAACGAATTCGCTACTCAGTCGAATTTTCTTTTTTTTATTTTATTTCATATTTATAGAATGAATCGATTAAATTCAAGAATAATTATATAGTTTTGTTTCTACTCAATTTTCAGACGATGATTATCCATGCCGTGAGCTTGCCACCTCATTCATAAGAGGGAGAATATAGATAGATATCGTAAATATGACACTGCTGTCTCTCCGTCTGTCTCTCCCTCTTACTCGGTTTTTTTTTTTATGATCGTGTGTAATCCTCAACTGAATCAACATATATAGAATGAAGATAATATTCAGACAACAAACGCGAAGTAAAGAGAAAGGAAGAGATAAGTTTTCGATGTGCACATCTCGAATTTTTTTTTTGTTAAATGCACACACCTACACGGGTCAATATTTGTCCGTTTTTTTTCCTTCATAATAATAATAATCATCATCATCATCGTCCCAGACAGATAATAGGCTCTATTGAGTGAAGTATGTATATGGGACAAAAAAAAAAAAAACGACTGACAAAGAATCATATTACATGTTTTTATGTACAAGATAATTTAGTCTTTTTTTTTTCCTCATTTTTTAACTAATTTAATTTCAATATGTTATCATTCAACCGATTATATATTGTCTTTAAAATTCAAACAAAAAAAAAAGAAAGACACAACAAATGTGTTATTAACACATACAGCAAAAAAAAAGAAATAAGATGAGATGTATCACACATAATCATAGAAGATGTATTGATGTTTGTTAATCATGATTTATATGTGTTCAACAAATGAAAGGATTAATAGGATATGTACTTAATTTATTATCAAACAAGATTTGTTCTTGTCAATTAACACATATGACTTACCATGATCAATAGGAGATGATGATGTTAAAAGACGTTTAGCTGCTTTCGTTTTTAGTCGCATCGATGTCTTTTACTTCTGCTATTCTGTATGTGTGTGTGTGTGTGTGTTTCGTTTAAGTTGTCATCATATAATGTAGTGATGTTGGTGACATTTTCTCTTCTTTTCTTCTGTTTACAGGTTGCTGCTGATCAATCTTGCTTTAGACTGCCACTGCCATCTCCGTTCCTTCTCTTTATGTTCTGTTCTTCTTCGTTGGTGATGCGAAAACGAAAATCCCCATCGTTTCGTCGTGACCGAGGATGATTGTATGCTCTCTCTCTCTCTCTCTCACTCTCTCAGTCTTTCTCGCTCGTTCCCAAGTATACCTGCCCGCCGTGCATATATGTATGTGTGCACACGAATTTGAATGAATAGAAAAGAAGAAGGTAGTTCGTTTGCGTTACTCTCGCAAATACACATTGATGATGGAAGCACTTGACAAACTTCTTTACTCAATTTTCTTCTTCTTCTTCTTCGTCGTCGTCGTCGTCTTCTTTCACATGCTGTGTGCGCTCGAATGCATCATATGATGCATTTATATTCGAAGAAAAAGAAAATAGAGTTTCATTTGAATTTAATGTTTGTACAATGTTTTTTTCTTTTTCTTTTTTTGTTTTCAACAAGAAAATAAGCAGTTTTTATTTTTGCAGATGGATATCGTGACGACAACACATCGAACGAATAAAAGAAAAGCATACGAATGTTTTGACAATAAAAAGCTCATATGAAATGGAAATGGAATATCAATTCGCTTGATTACTTTTATGCTCTGCTTTAGAAAAATGAATAAAAATGCTTTCGGGGCATGTATACTATGAAATCAAAATAATAAGAAAAAAAAAATGTAATTGAAATTGTTGCTTTTGAACAAATAAGGATAATGCCATTGATAAATGAAAACGTTGTTGATATTGTTTTTTTAAAGTATTAACAAAAAAGAAAAGTATTAGATAAATTTTTTCGTTTTTTTTTTCTGACATTGGTTAGAGTTTTTATTGAAAATGTCGTACTGTTTGATACTACTCGACTTGATTTATTATGTTATTCAGATAATATCGAAACTGATTCTTAATGTTAATGTTGACTTAAAAGATTCGAAAAGAAGCCTCGTTGATTGAAGTTTTACTTGATTTTATTTTGCAGTATAAATACAATTAAATTATTCATTCAGTGATTGAAACTGAATTTAAATTCAATAAAATGAATATCGAATCGTATTAGAAATTTTTCTTAATTAAAAAAAAAAAAAAGAAAAACGTTCTCTAACTATGTAACATGATCAATAATTAGCTGAAGAGAAAATTTGTTGTAACGGTTGTATCATTAGACAAACATGAGTTATATAAGATAGGAAAAGAGATTCTTGTTACATACTATTAAATATTCACTGAACAATTCAAATGATCAAGGACAATATCTATTAATAACATAAAATATTATTTTTCTTTTTTTTATTCAAATGTATGCAAAATCGACGGCAAAAATTTTGGTTTTATTGAAGTATAAGGAGTCTTTTTATTCAAAAAGAAAAATAACCATGAAAATTGTTTTTCTAAACTGAATTGTAACAATAGACGTATGAAAATCTATTATAATTCCTAAGTATTATTGGTATAAGCACAAAAGTATTTAACCCAATATGGCTATGAATCAAACAGATTACAAATAATTTGTTTTTTTCATTAAACTCAAGATACATTTGAAAATATCATCTATCGATTATTTTTAAGAACAAAAATAAAGTACAGTACAAAAAAATCTTCATAATATCATTTTTTTTCTTTCACATATCTGGTATTAATTAATAAAAGTTTATTTATCTTTCTAACTTTTGTTTCTCATATATATATATATATATATATCATTAATTCACACCTTTGAAAAAGAAAACTATTGCTGAGTTTGATCGACAAATGGCTCAAATGTTATCAAAACCATGCATAATATGATTTTTTTCTCCTATACATCTAAAACAACTATCAATATAAACATTAATGCATGTAAATCTTAAGTATAAATCGGATCAAATACTCCATGAAAAATGAGATGTATTAGATAATGATAAAAGCGAAACGAAATAAATAATGCTTATTTTAAGAACTTTTTTTTTTTGTTGTAGCTTGCAATTTATATTAATTTAGAAATTTAACCAATAAAGATATCCTAATTGAAATAGCAATTCATAACTTTTTTTTTTAAATCATATGAATAAATTAAGTTAATACATAAAAGTAATGATTGATATGATATTCATAACTAAATTGATTGTCACAAAATAGAAAAATAATGAGAGTCTGACGATATATATATATGTACATAATAGTTAAATATAAATCATCAATGATATTTATCGAATAATACAAGAGAAAATTTTGTCTTTTTTCTTTTTACAGACCTGAATGAAAACAGTCACAAGTGTCTCAGAATTATATACTGGCATGAGAAGAGAAAGAAAAAAATATATTTTCATGTCTATATGTGAAATAGACATGTCTGATAGTTAAAGCGCAGCCTTTTTTCATTCCAATTCTTTAATTCTACTATACATACATATACGATATCATCGTTAGTCACATAAAATACAAAAACGAAAAAAAAAAACCGAACACCCGACAGCGGTACCTTCACTCTACACTATTACCTACTCATTACTCCTTTGCTTTGTCAGTCATTTTCAATAGTAGAAAGAAAAAATAACATTTATGTAAAGTTTTATTGACTAAAATATACTTATTATTTGAATTTAATCAATAACATATAACTTAAATAATGATAAAATCTTCTTTATCTCGATCATCAGAATTATTAACATTAAATAATGATGAAATTAAACGTATTATGTCAGTTATTGAACGTGATTTTAAACTTCGAGAAAAAGAATATGAACGTATTCAGTAAGTTTTCATTCATAAAATTTAAACAAAAAAATAATAAAACATTCTTTTTTTAAAATAGAGAATTAAAAAATGTTATACAACAAGAACATGAACGTGTAGAATGTTTAGCAATGTCAACAGAATTTAATCATGAAAGATGTATAAGATGTTATAAATTATTTAAAATATTTTTTAATCCAAAAGAATTATGTTCAGAATGTAAATTATATGTTTGTCATAAGTGTGCAACATATAATAAGCAAAGCAAAACATGGATATGTAAAATATGTTTAAAACTAAAGTAAGAGTTTTTTTAACATATGTTTTCATAGTTATCTTAATTGAGTGATTTTGATTTTTTCTTACTTAATTGAAAATCAATAAAGTTATCTGAATAATAAATAATTAATTATTTTGAGTTGATTTGTTATTTTGATTTTCTAATATTCTAATGATAAGTAAATAAAATCTTTATGTAATATTTTCTTTTATAGAGAATTAGAATGTTTAACAGGTGATTGGTTTTATCTTGAAATTGCCAAGAAATATAAACGATGTGGTAGTGCAAAAGTTGTTCGTGAACTACACAAACGTGAAAAAGAACTTGGTAAGTTTAATTACATTTAACATGACCAGTCAATAATTATCCACATATGTAAAGGAATACAGTGTTTATCAAGGCGGCGGACATTTGGGTAAAAATAGAAATCTCACTTTTTTCGAGATTTAAATATAGTCTATTTAATGGTATAAATAACTTTGTTATAACCTTCAAACAAACTGTAATATAAGATGCCCAAAAATTGGCCTGAAAATTCTCAAGTCGCCGAAAAACTGATATTTGACAAAATGAAACTGTTTGACAGACAAATCGAGTATATTTTCGGAATTTCCAAGTCAAGCTCTATACAATAGTAAAAAGATATTGTTAAATTTGAACGTTAAATTTCTGAGAAAAAAAATAATAGTTTTTTTTATAGTGTCCTCCGAACGGTTAGTCCCATAAAATAAACAATTCAACTAAATCTAGCCTCGAAATTTTGTCACTATGTTTTTCTGTCTAATGTCTCTAATCCGTGTTATTACAAACAGTTTTAGATTGCACATTGGGCTTTCAAATAGCTTAGATTTTCAGTTTTTCTGGCTTTGGACAAGTATTTATTGGACGAAAACAGTATATTTGGAGTCAGTGCAGTGTGGGTGGGAGATTTCAACTCAAAAGTAAAAATCGCTAAGTCCACATTTAGAACAGAAGCGTTTTCTATGCTTGAATAGCCTTTAATGTTTTAGACATTCGAAAGTTTTCTTAGGTACACCAATTCAAAAATTTTTTGCAAAAGAATGGTAACCTCTACCTGCAAAACACAATCTCCCCATGTAACCTTACAAGAGCTCGTCGCGTACAAACTTTTCTGACCGGCGGCTCTATACACTACCTTCTTCTGATGTTCCCCGTATTTTTTTGATGCAGTGTTATCTGCTTTAATTCCTTGGTTTTATTCATCGTTTATGTATGATGTTGTAACTTTTCCTTGTCTTTTTCTTCCTTCTCCTATAACTATGTATTTCTAATTAGTTCATCGTTTATTTCTTCTCTCTTCATGTTTAGATTATCACGCTTCCTAGTCTTGTTATTTTCCCTTGTCTTTCTCCCTTCTCTATCGCTTCACATATAAGCAGCGGCTATTATAGAATAAAGTAGACATTATATGATCGAACTAAAACCGTTACATCTTTCTTCACTATTTGCATCAAAATTTGCCTGGTTTTCAGAGTTTTGAGTGAAAAGTTTTTAAAAGGCTGATACTAACATTATTTTGAGCCTTTTACAGTCCTGAAAATATTTTGCCAAATCTTCAAAAATCCTTTTGATTTTTTTGAAAACCCACTTAATTAATCATTATGAAAATAAATTGGATATTATACAAGCATCATAGTATTCTATTCCAGAGAAGCATTTACTAAAATACATCATTATATGAATAGGAATTAATTGAAAAAGAAACATTGCTTCAATTCGATATCAATCGATAGAATAAAAACTTATTTTTTCAAATAAAAATTACGCTCATACAAATGTTAGATATTTACGAATCAAGAAATTGTATTAATAAACCATTTCTAATTTTAATGTAGTAAACTAATCAATAGTCAGGTTCTAGTGGCGTAATCAGAAGAATTTCTAGGAAGAGAAAAGAGGTTCAACCCTATCTTCCTTCCACCTGGTTACGCAACTATTAAGTCCTTGAAAAAAAATCCATGTTTTGAGATACCATAGAGTATATGATAAAATTTCAAAAAAGTTTGCTTTTATTTTTGAGCTAATACAGATGTTGTAACGGAAAAAGTCTAATTTCATAACGTTTGGTCAGGCTGACTAATCATCGTTTCTCGTATATTGCATTTAAATTCATAAAGGCTGAATTTTTCTAGATCGCAACGAAAAAGAAGTAGCTTTATGCTTGTTGCAGTTTCGAGAGAGTTAATTTTTATTCTAGCTGAGATTGATCAATATGATGATGATCCCGGATATGGAACATTACCAACAAGTGTCATAATGGATTCGAAAGATTCTGGTTAGCTGAAGATTTTTCATCCAAAATATTCTAGTAAAATGTTTATTTTGTTTAGGTTTTCTTAGGTCATATATTGTTCATGATGAAAATATTAAAAGTGAATTAAATGAATATGCAAAACGATTAAATTTATTAATTGATAATTTACAATCTGATTTATCGAAATTTCTCACATATAATAGTCATCTTTCCATCAGCAATAGATGTAAGAAAATATAGATGATAAACGTTTTTTTTCAAGTTCGTTTTGAATATTTATAGATAGAGAAAATCTCAAAGATCGTCGCCAGCAAATTGCATCAGAAATTACTCGTGCTCGGATTGCTCTTATGAGTCCACTTCGACGTAAGTATATTACATATAAAAAAAAAAGAGACTTCGGTTTTTATTTGCTATGCTCTGTTGAATATAATTCATATTTTGAAGATGATATAAATAATTACGATGTCTAAGATCTAGTGTTTAGAAATAAGTGTAATCGTGAACTATGACTATTCTATTGATTGTATTAGAATGATCTATAATAGAGCAGCTGTTGATGCTAATAATGTAAGGAGATTCACTGACTTATGTTATGAATGTTCTTCGTTTTCTCGAAGATGAAAAAAAATGAAAATGAAAATGAACTAACGAGATATTTAATTCAATATATATTAAAATTTTATCATAAATAGAAAATTGGTCACATCAGTCACGTTCATCATTACTAGTGATGTCTGAAAACTTAAAAACAACAAACAGTATGATAACCTTTCGATCATCTATTCAGCAATGTTTTATTCAGATGTTCACGTCTCGAAAAATGTTTTGATATTTTAATATGATTCATTAATTAAATAATCTATTAGAAAAAATGATCATTATAGCAAAAGAGCAAACTTATAAAAAAAAAAGATTGTGTCGTGTTGATCTATGGAGAATTATTTTAAACAAAGTTGCTTCGGCACTTTATTAGTTCAACTAAGTTAAAACAATTCTATAGAGTGTAACAAACATAAGGTCCTACAGAGTGTGGTTCCATTCTCGGTCTACAATGGATAAAATACTACTCATCCTATGACACTTTAATGCATAGCACAGTGCCCAGCTCTGATAGCAGAAAACAGACACCTGCTCACCTAAAGGACTTTCAATTGATTAAACTCTTATTAGAAATCATGTCGACGTTATTGATTGACAATATAAAAGAACTCAAATTAGAAACTTTTGATCTAAAACTTTGCCCAAGGAACGATCGAATAAAATCGAGCTAACTTGAAAAGTCAATATTTTTTAGAAATCTATATTCGTTATTGGCTGAAACTTTCTAGATATTCTGAGAATCATTAGATACTTCTTTCGACACAATTTCAAATCGATATTTCGACATTGAATGTTTTGGTCAATACCTACAGAGGCATTAAAAAAAATCAATAAAATTTTCATAACTCTTGAATCATTGGTCATGAACCCAAAACTTTTTATGTTTCTTCTTATCTCAATATAATCTAACGAATGAGTTATAAAGAAATAAAAACATAGCTGAATACCACGAGTGTTTATTTCATAAGTGTTTCACTTGATTTTTTTGACTGGTTCAATATTTCATCTAGTCAATTGTTGCGTAGAGATAACATCAATGACTTTAGAATATAACTAGTTGAAGACGTATATGTGAAAACAATAAGATTTCTCATTCGATATTTAGAATACAACTAGTTTATTGAATATGATGGAACTGATATTCAAGGAAAAAACTTTTTAAGTAGGTCTTCGATGATTTTTTTAAAGAAATTTTCAAAAACTATCGAGTCTACTTATGGTTCTGATCTTACATTGTTTGATCGGGCTCAATTTTTTTCGCGATGTATTACTTTTAAGCCGATCGGACTAAGTAAGACAAGGGTCATAAGTAGGCCCGATAGTTTCTGAAGACCTGCTTTTAAAATTTTTTCCTCGAACATTCGCTCCATCATTTTCGATAATCTAGCTATGGCAAAAATTTGATCTCAGTAGGTCATGCTCTCGCGGAAAATCAGATTTCATTCAAAACAGAGAGAGGATACCCGTCAATAAGCACCCGAAATATATACTACTTTATGATATTGCTTACGATGATAGTTTTTTAGTTTTTTTTTTAAATATCTGTTGTTTCTCTAGTTGATGTTTTATATGCAATAATATTTCTGTGATTATTTCATTTGGAAACTTTGTTTTGATTATACAAGAAACAATTGAAAAGAAAATTTCTTTAGGCTCAAATATGAAACCAACTGTAGCATATGAAAATGATTTTAAAAATCTATTAATATACAAAACTGAAGATGTTCTTCAAATAAATTTACAACAATTTAAAAAAGTAGATTAATCAATAAATGATTTCTTCTTTTTTGTAAATTTCTTCTTTTTAATATAAATATAGAATTTAACCACATCAAATTTGTCAATAAATTCACCCAGTTTTGATGAAAAATTGGCACAAATTATTTTTGATAAATTTATCAATAAACAAGCCTCCAGTAATTCAACTGAAGTTATCGATTCAGTGAGTTTTTTTTTTCTAATTGTCATCATCATATTTTTTTTGTAAAATTATTTGAGTTTCACATAAGACAAACAACAGTTTTAGATGATATAATGATTTTGTTCTGTTCAATTTTGAGAGACTATTTTTGACCTCAGATCGGATCCCTTAGAATTGAACTATGACGGACACTGTTACATACACTTCATATTGATGTATTATTTTCTTATTATGTCTAATGGAGAAGATGGAGCTGCTCTCTTTCCGATTATTTATTTAATTATTTAATATTAGCACCAAGTTGATCTTTCATTGGATTGTAAGTTTTGTTCAAGAAAAAAAAAGAAAAATTTCAGCAAACAACGATATTCGAATAGTAAGCTTATTTTGATTGGTGAAAAACCCTGTTGGATCTAGGATTTTGGTGAATGGAAGTAATTATAGTCATAAAACGTGTTTTCAAGTCGAACTATAGGTTGTGTCAGCTCATTTTACGGCGTTTTCTGTTGAGAAAACTTGAATATTTCGAAAGGAAAAAATCATTGGCGTTTTCTCTAAATCTGCCATTGATCAGTGATTATTTCATTCATTTGATGAAACTAGATAACAGTAAACTTTGAACAGTATTGACTTTGACAGTAGACGCTTCAAAATAATCAAGTAGTAAATTATGTATCATTTAAATAACTCCATGTCGGATATGTATGACAAGAAACGCATTCAACAGAAGCTGAGTCAATCATGTTACAAATAACTACTGTAGGTTTGGAGAACATATTCTAAAGCTATTTTCCATTGGAGTTTCACTTGAAGTATGACCGGCTCATAGGAAAAATCCTTCTTTTTCGATCTACATAAGCTCCAACTTTGTCGCATGTTTCATTTCTGAGTTACCAAGGTGTTCCTCAAACCCTCGGTTTCACCAAACTGACCTTGGAAGGCTCCAAAAGAGTTCAAACCAGGGTTAATTTATCACGCTAAGTCAAGTAGTGACGCTTTTTTTCTCAGTTATAAAATGACGCAAGACTACCATTTTAGTATTTTTGAAATTTCAATAACTTTCTCTGCACTACATAAAAATTGAAATTCTAAGTCTTGAAAAAATGGTTTCATGTCGCTTTGAAGCTGAAAACAAATAGTACTATTCCACTCGGCACAATAAACTACCTTCATCTCGAGAATATCTTTGTAGTCTTCGATGATTAGTTTGCTGGAATAGGTAGTCTCAGGAAAATAAGGTAACTTGGAAATGGAACATGCTAGAAAGTTGGAATCTGTATATGTAGAAAATGAAGAATCTTTTCTACCGATTGGTCATACTCCAAGTCCAACTCTAATGGAAAATGGCTTCAAAATTTTCTTTTCAAAATCCCCACAGAGAATTCTTCTGATTGGTCAGTTGTTGATTAATCAGATTTCAGCATAATCAGGTGAACCAAGTCTTCTATGTTGTGTGATAAAAACATTACATCTCTATGCCGTTCATATTAAAAGTTATTGAAGAAATAGTCGGATTGATTGTTTTTCGAAAACAAGAATAGTCAGCAATAGATGATCATTGTGAAAAATCATTGACTGTATATAAGGCATGGTAGAAATCGAAACGCACAATTAAAGGTATATCCTAAATATCTTAATTTACGGTAGTATGATGTACATTTGAGACTTATAAATGCAGAAATATGTTCTTTATACATCTCTATTGTTTTGTATTTAGTTATCAAATTTATCTCAAGTACCTACGAAACCTCAACGACAATCATCGATTCCAACATCTATCAATCCTTCATCTTATGAATTAAATCAAAATGTTTTCTCGTCTCAAATATCAAATACATCTTTGGAGGTAAATTAAACACATTTTTATTTTACTGTTCATTTGATTTATTGTTTATTTTACTAAAAAAGATGAATTCTCAAAGTGATACTCTTCAGAAAAAGAATCTATTACGAACACGAGCTATTGATGAACAAGGTAAGATTTATTTTTTTTAAATATCAATAGATTGAAATTTTTATTTTGTACTGAAGAAGAAGGCGATGATGAAGACGAAGATGAAGACAAAACTCCAACTGGCAGTTCATTTGACGATGATCAATCAGATTCTCTAGATGAGAAAAATCGTTTTATTGATACAGATGTTGAAACCATCAAGAAGTCTAATGAACGTGTTGATGATTGGAAAACAAATTTTAATTTAATTGAATCTGAACTTACTCTATCAGATCATGATGAAGAAGAAGAAGAAGAAGAATGCTCAACTTGGTTATAAATATACATATATAAAATAATATATATATAATCAATAATTAATTTAGTTTTTGAAAAACTATTTCTTACTTATTCCTATTATTACAAAAGAAGATGTTATTCTCTATCAAGTCATATAAAACGTCTACATGAGTATTCAAATTATATATACAAGATGTTCCAAACTTCCATCGGGAAAGAGAACGTGAATTACTCATGAACAATTCAAATCATACACATATGTTTTCTATCGTTTTATTCAATTTTTTTAAAATTTCCTTTCGCATAATATGATTTGTGTTTATTGTTCAATTGCTCACAATGAAATGAAATATTAAATAGAATTTCAATGGAAACCATTGCATTCTTCTCACCAATCGTCCTAGTCAATTCAATCTGATTCGGAATAGATACCTTTCATATGTTATTATATAGAGTTTGAGAGATGCTAATAGGAAAACTTTCCCAAGTGAAACTCTGTTTAAAACGTGATATTTTGTCTATGTATACGCCTTAATGAAACTAGAAAAATCCTAGAAAGGTTTGTGTTTTTGTGGCTTTTTTGCTTAGATATGAAGTTCATATGTTCACTGAAAGTGTCGTCATTTATAGTGGGATACGCTGCAATGTAAATTTTTTCACAATAACGAGCAACACATATACTATTCTTTTTTAAAGTGTGTTGCATTTCACAATGGTCATCGATAGCACACTATTTTAGCTTTGTAAAAGACTCTTAACATCAGATATCAAAGTTTGTTGCTTAACACTAGTTAACATGAACAAGAGTATACAAATTGAAGTCGACTTTTTTCATATGAGACGTCGATGAACATACACTTATTTAAGTAAGCAATAATCTTCATATTATCCTCTCGTACCGAGTGTAAACAATGCTTAGCTAGTCGTAGGAAGAGCAGGTCATCAGAATTTTATTCCTTCTCTGTATTGTCATGCAAGCTGTGCAATTCAGTACACGCAAAAACAATAAGAATTATGTAGTGTTTGTGACTGCGGAAACATCTACACTGCAGCATATTCTACCAATATAAATGGTGACACTCTCAATGAAAATATAAATTTCATATTTCAACACGAAAGTCACAAACAACTCGAACTATTTTAGGGTTTTTCTAGTTCCACTAAGTCCTACACACGGACAAAATATACCTACACGCATCTAGAATCACAAACGCACACTTATACTCTGATATAGAACTTAAATTATGTATTGTTCAATAATTATTATCTAATGATGGTTACTGAACTACTTCATAGATATGAATGGAATCAGAAGTTGAATAAACATTCAACGGAATTTGATCGGCATCATTTTGTTTTTCTAATAAATAATTTTGTTCGTTCTAACATTTTACCAATCTCATCATTGTTAATACTGCAAGTTTTTATTTTAAGTTGTGCATGTTTTGTTTGGTTAGCATGTGTTTCAGCAAGTTGTCTGACCTATATTTTTAACATATATTACTCTGCACACATAGATTTGAATGTAACTATTTTGATTTTATGAAATTAATACTGAATAAGGGTATGGATGTCGGCGAACATAATACTCACTTGCATATACATACTCGTACCCCAGTCATTAGTGAAATATATTCAGCTGAGGACTGAGAAATGATTCAAATTGGAATAGTGGTAAGTCTTGACCGAATTTTTATCAATTGAACAAGGATTTTTGTAGAAAAATCTACTCATGTAATTAAAGTCTCATTGAAAAAATGAAAGTCTATGATGGTCGAAATGCTAATTTTTCATATTTAAATTGTATTATTGTTTCTGAGCAGCTATTATTTAACTTTGAGTGTCGCAACAACACTTGTGTGTTATATCCAATTGGAATCTGTAGTGATCAACTGTGTTACATCCAAATCACATGAGATTTGAGTTGCTACTATCGCCTTAATACGCGAAAAAATTAGGTCAAGTTTCATCGGTCTATTATCTAGAAGAATTTTTGCGGAAAAACAGGGTGTCCAGACTACATTTTAGTCGAATCTTTTACGTTCGTGTTTAATATAAAAAGAATCCATTAAATAAATAAAATCATACTAGATTGTTCATATACTTTTTGTTATTAAGTATAATAACTGTGTGAAATGAGTACGTCAGCTAAAATTTCAAGTTGATCATCAGTGAACTTTGTCCGATGTTCATGCCAAGAATCGTAATGTGTACGACGAAATTCAGACAAACATTCTTTGATAGATTTCTAGAACAATAGGAATATAATTCATTTCCTGCTATATCAAATAGAAAGTGACTCACTTGAATCAAAAGAGGATCATGCGAATGTTCGCACAGAACCATTAATGCATGTGGTATATAACTCGCAACATCATAGGGACTCGAAAGAACAATAGCACAAAGACCCAAAATACCTATAATAACAGTAATGCACAACTCGAAAAGTAATCAGTGAACCAAACAGAATTACGCTCTCAGTATTTTCAGTTTTTCTTTTCTTCCTGGTTTATTTATTTATTTATGATCTATTATGAGAATATAAATTCTAGAGTCCAAATTTTTCACTAAATTCTTCGAAACAGGAGCGTAGTTCATAATGTTCGAATCATTACTACTTTTGTATTCTATCAATAAATACTTACCACTATGTCGTTTAACAATATCATTCGTCGACATAACTTTCTTTCCATCGATTATCGTGAAATAGTCGATTTTACTCATGGCGATAAAATATGTCTTTTAATGATGAAATCAACTGCAATGTGTTTCAACAAGAAAAATAAATGGATCCTACCAAATCGTCTTCAGTGACTGAAATGTAACCACATTGATAGAAACCTGATAAAGTTTTCGATGCAGTCAATCGTACTTCTAATTGCTCATCGAATAAACATTTGCGTACAAGTTCATGTAATCGTTTTGCATGACAACGAGAATTGAATAGGTTGCAAAAGACCAGATTTTGAATGAATTCAATAGCTGCTTGCCGTGCATGCCATTTTACAGTCGTACAAACCTATAGTATATCAAAAACAGAACCAGTTTAGTAGGAAAAAGAAGAATCTATCTTGACAAAGTGTATACGTATTCCAATTGTTGAATAAGTTTTTCTAAATGATGTGCATCTAAATAGGCCATGCCAATAGACATACGTGCGATCGACAGACGTTTTTTAAAGCCATCATCATTGGTAACAATACTTTGAATTTCACAGAGCTGAATAAAAGAAACAAATGTGTGCATATAACAGTTCAAACTTAATGGCATGTCAATATTTCAATAGACGTACACAGGGAAACAGACGAATGATACCTTCCTTTATTGGTTGATGGGATTGAATGAATAAATTTGAATATAGATCAATCACTAAATTATATCCAAAGAAAATAGTTGATTTTTGAATAGAATAATTTTACCTGTTTCAATTAAATTTAATGCTTGACGAGCTTCGACATCAAGCTCAACACTTGAACCGGAAATATTTACTAAAAAGAATTTAGTTTGTTGTCTTCAATGATCGAGATAAAAATTGCTAATATCTTACCCAATGGTTTACTTTCATAAATATCAATAGCTTGACGCAATCGTTCACGTATCCTTTCGCTGAATTGATCAGTATTCGGATGACGTGCTGATTTTCCATCAAATAATTTCAGATCAAGTCCAAATGACATCGCTAATATACTAACAATAAAGACTCAATTCGATTTACATGTAAATAAATTTAGAAAAGTTTTTTTTTTTTTACACAGCAATACGTTCTCGTATCCATTTCGATGAATGATCGAGTAATTCTTTAGCGTATTCATGAATTGAACACCATATTGATGGAATACGCCATTGTAAAACTCGAAGACTTTGAACAAGATACCATCGAGATGCTTCATTAAATGTATAAGCTGTTGAATGCTGATCGATTAGTTTATAAATGAAATTAATTGGTCGACACATTCGACGAGGATCTGTATCGTTCTTTCAAAATATAATTCGAGATGTCATCGAAATCTTGAATGACAAAAACAAGAAACAAAAAAACTTACTAAACAGTATCGAAAACAAGAACCCCAATGTAAATAGCTTTCTTGATTAAGATTATTGCTAACTTCAGTGAGAAATGGCGTTAATTTTTGCCAAAGTTCATCTAACTAAATTGAATAGATTTATAAATATACCAAGACATAAAGTTTGCAATTATTTGTAAAGAAAATTTTTTTAAATTAAATCAATTTTACTGACCATTTCTAATGTCCAATATTTCGAACCACGAATTATACCGGCTATAATTTCGGATGCTGCACGATGACTACCTTCGTATTTCTCTTGTATCTTTTCACGAATGAGTAAGTACAATTGTTCGATGAAATTGTCAACAAATGCCAGTCCGAAATTACGAAAGAGACCCTTGAAATAATCAATTATTTTTATATAAAATACAAGAAGAAACTTCTTGAAAAATTCAAACCATCCTTAGTATGATTTAAATATATTAACATTTGTACTTATTCGATTTACCTTGTACATTAAAAATCGAAGTTTATTGAATTCAATCTCGCGTTCATCAAATATGATAACTTTAGTTAATTTTACTATGAAATTTTTGTCAAGAAAACGATCAAAAATAATTGATACATGTTTTGGCATTCGATCAGGATTGTAACGTTCACGTTTATTTATTGGATATTTGATCAACTTTCGCCATTGATAATAACCATGATGCCTTTTATCTAAGAAGCATGTTTCTTCCCATTCAGTTTGTAGTTCAGGCAATTTATAATTATTATATGTTATCCATAAATTATCATCACGATCACCTGGTTGCAATTGATCATTGAACTTCAGAATTTCGTCAAGAGATTTTTCAACATAAATTCGAGGTAGTTTTTGTAAACGACAAAATGCTGCAATAGCTTTGACAGCATGCTAAATAAGATCGAATTAAAAAAAAAAAGTAGATTGATTAACTAAAAGAAACTTTTCTCAACAAACCTTTCGTAATTCAATATTATCATGAATGAGAAAATTAAGACAAGTTTCAATACATGATGACGGTATTGATACATGTTTTTGAAGAAGTAGACATAAAAATGACATGGCCATCTTTTTTTGTCCCCATGTTCTAAAAAATTTCTCAAGCAAAACAATGAGTATGATGAATGAGATCAAATGAAATAACACTTACGATGTTTCATCATTGAGTAGTGAACAAAGTGTATCGATCAGATGATTGTATGATTGAATATTCGTTTGATGACGTTTTTCACGAATTTTTATGCCAATTTCTATTTCATTTGGTTCTAATGGACGCCATAGTGCAATTGCCGCATGTTCAGATGTCTGATTTGTATTATCGATGAGTGCAATTGTAACAAATTGTTTTTCAATTTGTTTCTTCAAATCTTGAATCAAACGTTCGATACTGATTTTTTTTGAATAACTTCGACGAACAATTAATGGCCACAATTTGTTCATCATTGTCCATGAATGTTTTGTTGGCAAGAAACAATGATTATTACCGAAAAGAATATACAAACAACCCTAATATGATATAATTGAATGAATAATATGAGAATAAAATGAAATAAAGAACTTTGATTTTATTGTCACTGGTTTCGTCTGGCGTATCAAGTATTTCAACAATGCGATCGACAATAATTTCGAATGAAAAAAAATAGTTATTGAGAAACAAGAAGAGTTTCTCTTGAGCAAAACGACGAACCTATACTAGAAATAGAAAAAAGTGATTTGCAAAAATATTTATTTACTTCACTATATCGATTGATAGATAAATCGAATAATTTTAATTCGATTTGTTTGTCGATTTCAGTCAATATTCGAAAATTATTTAATTCAAATTCCTAATAATAATCAAATATAGGTGGGTATTCACTATTGTGGTATTCATGATTATACTTCAATTTGTAGTTCAATTTGATTGATTATTAAAGCACATGGATTATCTCGTTCACCAATGATTTCATTTCGAAATAATGTTCTTATCAATTGAACATCATTTCGCATTTGAGAAACATCAGTAGAAAATACACCATTGTATTCACATGACAAGACACAGATCTACGAATTTGTTTTGATTATTGACTTTCGATCGATATGAATAATACTTACATAGAGAGCTTTTTTTATTGATAAAACATCGTCTGATTGGTTTTCAATTAGCATATCTAAAGAGACTCATAAAAAATTGATCGATTTAAAGAAAATTTACCGATTAATTTGCCTATGTCAAGAAGAAGACGCATTCGTAAATTCTCTTGAAATTCTAAGAAAGACAAAACGTGTTTGAAAATGAATATGTCTCACAGAATAATTACTTGGATTCAATTGTTGGTAATAGGTTGGATATAGACTTTGAGATTGTGAATTACAGGGAACCGTGGACAATACACTGCAATAATCATTAGTGTCGAAGTTTATTTGTTTAAATGATTTGGTTTTGCGCATTTATTATTTACTTACAGATTTGGTACCTCTTTGCTTTCGATACGTGATACAATACGAAAACATCCAATAGCGAGGCTACTAATAACTGTGAGCGATCGTAGTCGTTCATCTTTGGATACTTTCAAAAAGTTCTCTTTCAAAAACGTCAATTCTGAATAGATAAATGTATTGACAAAGTCACAAACAAAATCGATTTCATCAACATTAGGAATGTGATATTGAACTTGAATTTGATCAAAATCAGCATTTTGTCCCCAGATCTGAATAGTTATATCAATAATCGAAATATGAGAAAACGAGAGAGAGAACAAAGAACTTACTCGAATAGGTAAGAAATCAATGAATGGTTCGTCAAGTTGTTCTCGAGTAAGACGATAATTCATTGGATAAATATTCAAAAGTGATCGAAGTAAATTTTGAATTGCTTTAGCAATAGCTTCATAAGAATCCTTGTGAAGAATACGAATACATTGATGAAAGATAGATTTAATCATTTTTTGATAAATAAGTAGAATATCACCGCGTGCTTGCACTAGTTCAGCGAAAAGAACTAAATACCAAGTAAGTTCGAGATCACCATTATGATCGTTGAGTAGAGTTATTTCTGATTTATGCAAGATCTTTTCAATTGACTCACATGTTTGTGGTAAGAGAGTCTCCAATATTTCGATTGGATAGCATTTGACCATGGCTCGAACGAGTCCGGCGACTAGTTGTCGCACATTCGGTAAAAATATTGAACCACTAATAAAATTTGTTATCTTCGTCTTTATCATCTAAATGTCACACAGGCATCATAGAGAGCAAGCAAGATGTGTTATGATGGAGTGCAAAAAACTTTCAGAACCTAACTATTGTTTTTATAAGCAGAAAAATCATCCTATTTTATCTATTTCAGAAATGCTGATCGAATAGAGTCTGACAGTGAGTACATTGGAAAACGGTCGATTAAATCTAAGACATACACGAAAAATGTTGCTACTACATTGCCGAAGAATACTGGTCATTATTGATGTTAATTTCACTTGTAAATTATCATTATCCGTATATTTTTCATTAATATTCACAGCATCTGAAAAGTCCGTAGATAGTATATTGATCATTTGAAATATTCGATCGAGAAACTTCGTTATAAAATTTTCGAATTGTGCCGTAGATAGACAAACTTCTTTTTCGATCTATATGAAATATATGTGTATTGTTTCTTATCATTCAAAATTAGTATTCGAATCTTACCTCATTGAGATCATTTCGAGTGTGTACCGCTGATGAGCAATCGACACATGAGATTAACATGAAAATAGCATCGAAAAAGTCCAATGTCATTGATGTCTTTTCAAAATCATTTAAATCAATACCGGGTAATACTGACATGAGTAATGGTAGAATATAAGTTTGTCCTTGGAAATAGGACGATGTTTGCCGTACTAATTGACGAGTCATACGTTTGAGACAGTGCATAAGTGATGTAAAACGATGTGCTTCTATTAGATTGTCGATGGATAAGAGAAGTCTAACGAAAAGGATCAAAATTTAGTCAATGAAATCGAAACTATTCAAGTATCAGACTTATCAACAATTGGTGACACAATAGATTCTGGTCGAAGCATGGCCAAATATTGACAAGCCTCAGCAGCCTCTTTTGTATAATCCTTATTAAATATAGACATAAATGCATATTCTTTGATACAATCGACAAAATCTGTGATGTCCTGTTCAGTCAGTCGATACGATTCAGGCAGTACAAAGAACCAAACAAGGTAAGTTTTGCGTTCCCTAGAGAATATTTACTCATTAAAAGTTACATTATATAAATGATGTTCATATTTACAGATGAATTCGATCGACAAAAAATCGTGTCAAATGCAATATGAATTCGACTAATCGTTTTTGAAATTTTCCCGTATTCGATGGATAATAGAAACTTCTTATAGCTATGAATAAATCTCGTAAATATTGAAGACAAGAATTTCTATTGCCTATCATTCCAACAATCCATCGAGAGATTTGTGACACAAAATAAATATCTTCGTTTGCAGAAATTTGCATGGTACCTATTGGAAGTGAAAAACTTCGCAGAAAACGCGTAAAAATCTAGTAGATCAAAGTTTAAGTAACATAAAAGAAGAAACAATAATAATTTCCAAACCTGTGCTAACCATGATTCCCAATCGATATAGCCAATATTGTACCAGGCAAGACGTGCAAAAAGTTGAAGTAGAGGCTTAAGTGAATCATTAAACATTGTAAATAAAATTATGCATCAAACTTACTATTCCCCAGTGTGTTTTGTTATAGACACTTTCCCAAATACCGAACAACTCAGATAGCCATAATCTGTTGTTGAAAAATGATGCATGAAATATCAATAAGAATGAGAAAGAATAGACATACTTGAATCCTTGAGAATGTAAAGATGGAGGCAAGTTAATTGGTAGAAAACCTTCGAGTATTTTTATGGCACTATACATAGAGTAATTATCGATAGGACACAATTGTGGGCGAATCTCATCAAGAATTTCTTGTGTAGTCATTTCCGAAAAGTATGGGGAACAACAGCGCACACACCGAAAAATGGACTGATCGAAATCTCTTGAAAATAATAAGAATCATTGAAAAATCATTTACACTAGTCTATAAGAAGTTACTAACTTAGGCAAAGTGATCAGTCCATAAGTAGTATCATGACTCTTGATAGAGAATTTAGCCCATCGATAGAATATCCACCAGTTGATTGTCAGTTCATTTCGGTTGATCAGCCGAGTCTTTCTGCAACGTATCATAAATAGAATTTACTTTAAAATTTTCTTTTTTTCAATGTATAAATCGACCAATAATTACGTACTGCAATAGACAAGTGATCATTTCAAAACAAATAGATGCATGGACACAACTGAGGTCGGTTATGGAAAGAATAGATACATAAAATTGAATAAGTTTAATATGATCAATTTTGCTAAAAAATAATCCATGGAGTGAAATAAATCGTTTTAAATTGTACGACCAAAGTTTGAAGGCTGGTTGAAATTCAAGTAGTTGAACGGCACGTGATAGATTTTCTCGAATTTCTTCGAATGATGTCAATGCTTGTTGCTTAATAATTGAATAACATGGTAAGTGCTGATTGTAAATATTGGGTCTCTGCAAGTTGTCATTGTATATATCTGAATTTCGTTCATCAATGATTGCATGACTATGCATCGATGTATCTAATAAGAATATTAAATTAAACAAACAATGCTAGTAACAGATCGAATAATTTCATTTCAGTACGGACAACGATCAGCAGGGAAAGGAAAACAAACGTGACGAAAATACATTGAAAATTCCTACAATTATCATTCTTTTCTCTTTCACTCTATTGTTCCTTCATTCATGATGAAGATAGGAAACAACACTCCATCAAAAAGCATTGATAAGGTACTAGAAAAGTGTTGGGTACCGTTTGCGTATGGTGTGAGCCATGGTTGTCTATCAGTATCTTCTCTGCCTATATGCTGAGATATATACACACATCCTTTTCTTTCATTTATACTGATGAGTTTAATTAATTCGATTATATAGGGGTCGAAATGTCATGTTACACTTTTTCGAAGCCAGGAATGAAATGTTGACATGTAACCAATAACTCTCGCTTACTGTCATAATTATCTAACCTGTTCTTTTCTTTCGTTGTTTGGGACTTCTCTTTCTGCGTTGTTCATTTTTTATATTCCCCTAATGGCACTTTTTTAAAATTTTTTCTTTCTTTCGTTCTGCTTGATTATTTTCCCTTGCATAGATATGTTTTCATCTTAACAGGTAATTTCTGCATGGCAACTAAATTGTATTCTAGAAACAGAGTATTCATTTACACTATCGAAAAGCTGTTAAATGCTTATCTTGTTCTCATTGATAACAATTCTGAATGTAACAATAAATCGTGATAATTTGTAAAAGCCCCTTAACAAGAACGAGAACTATTCTGCAGCATCTTGCAGCCATAGTACGGTAGCTGTCAGTATTCGACAAATCAAGTATATATTTAGATACCATGACACAAGTCAATTTTTCTAATAGTTGCTAGAGGAGATTCTACCTATGATTGGTATTGGATCACGTAGAAATCTAAGTTTAGTTCATCTCTGAAATATTTCCATTTGATCTCGTGTGACTTAGAAACTTATTATACTATTCTTAAGTAAAGATAAAAAAGTAAAGTTGATTATCGATTACTTCCTTACTTTTTCTGTACGACAATAAAGTCTTTTAAAAATGTTCTGACCGTCGAAACTATTCGTTTTTCTTTCATTATCAAAACTCCAAGAAGCATGTGTAAATATTTACTATGAATCATACACATCTTACTCTTTACAAGAAATAGTTTATTGTTGACAGAATTACGATCACAGAAAGAAGAAGTTTTTAGGAAGTAATCTTATCAACTGTTTTCTTCTATGTGTCATGATTTTTTTCTTTTCTATATATTAGGTATTTACCCATCCTATCATATGTATTTTCCCTTTCGAACTCTTTATTTTCTCTAAGGTATTTTTCCTAAACGCGCTTGGATATTATAATATCCTTGGTGTTGTTCACCGACATACGTATATGGCAAGAGATTTATTATAAAAAACAGTTTCAGTATATCGTATACAACTATCTTTAACTATTGCTCGATAGAAGGAAAATTTTTTCGAATTGGAATAACTTCACAAAGTCTGACATCAGTTAAACTAAATTAATAGTGATTTATCCATTACAAATTTTCGTTCACTTACGTTTCGCATTTCTCTTGAGAAAGTAGAAGGACGTGAGTGTGGCAGTGAAGAAAAAACCCAAACCCACTTACTGCTAAACTTCTCTTTATAAGCCTCGAATATGATTGTGATATTACTGGTGAATGATTAGTCATTCATCAATGGTACGGTTATCCTTGTTTTGTAGATATGATACATACAGTAAGCGTTATATGGCTTCTAAATATGAGTACTATCCACAACAAAGACAGTACAATCAGAATAGAGCGAGCCTATCAATTCTTTACTCTTGATGAAATAAGTTGTGACTTAAACTATATTAGTTGTTGGCAGTTTCGTTCATTATCATCTATCTTGGTTTTCTTTGCTAGTTATATGTTGTGCTTACTGCTATTGCTTTTCTTTGCAATCATCGTGACATTCGCACCTATGGCTGACTCAAACCAAACATCATATTTACTTCGTATTTTAAGGACAATCGAAGTTATTTTTGACTGTTGTTCTACATGATTGTTTAGGGTGAAATGTGTAGTTAACGAATCATCATCTCGTCTTGCAAATATTATATATTCTTCTTCCGATCTGGTGATCGTTTGTTCAGTAAATAAAAGAAAAAATGTAGAGAAATCCAATCTCAAATCGATTAACTAATTCAGCCTCGATGTTCTCAATGGCAATGTCAAGAATTTCTTTTCAATTAGGCTCATGATATAATAATGCTACTGACAAAGTCCATCTCTCGCGATTTTGCTCGACAAAAAATATATCAAACAGTTGATGACTCTGAACCGTATCTTCTTGTCATTGGTATCTGCAACAATAACGGTGAATTGAGAAAAAAAATCAAACCCTAGAAGACTATTTTTTTTTTATCAATGGTAAAATTAATTGTTTTATGACTGTGACTAATCATGACTTTTCTTTCCATTCATATTCACCCAAATTGAACCTAATCAAAAGTACTTTATTAGTCAACTTTTTTCACTTTATCTGCAAGAAAGAGAATCTATATGTTTTATGTATTTGTGATTCATTTTGAGAACTGTTTCAACTGAGTCGCTTAGATTAATAATAAAGACTCTCGTTTTTCTTTTAATTCATGTACTGTATCCTAATTTTATTAAGCCGCAATCTAAACTAAAAGCAAAATCAACTTCTTCTAAGTAAGAGAAAATTATTTCAAGAAACAGTAGGTTACTCATTGTTTATTTCTATTTGGTAGAGATAAACTAGAAGCAGACACCAAAAATCGTGCAATTCTATTCGTATTGTATAAGTTTGATGTTGGATGAGGCAATATTGACTAGTAATAGTTTAAGTGATTAACAAAGAAAATATGTTTTAATTAGTCTTTGAATTTTTCATTGCTTTTCAGTGCTCCAAAGTATTGACTAAGCCACTGGTTCCAGAAAATGATGAACATAACCACTGGCAACGAATTCTGCCGGATAAACTTTGTTCCAAACTTTGGTCAATTTTTGAAGATGACCAGGATGAGTTGTACTTAGTGCTGCCGGATTCAGAGGAAAGCAGACAAATACTGTATGAACACAAGAAGTCAATATTGCTGTAATAATTGTACTGATCAAAATGCCGATTAAAAAGCTAATGGATCCAGTTATAATAGTAGCTAGAGTTCGTTCCGACGACTCGAACAAAAGAATATAAATGATAAAACCGCCGACAACTGATGAACAGAGAACAATTAAAATATTGATTATCCTCAAACTAGTGCCCACAAGAAAATCATTAATAATCGCTGTCCAGGCACGTACCGAAGGGGGGGCATGGGGTTCGGGGCCCCCTCAGGACTGAAAACGCCTGTAGGAGAGTACAGGTATACGTTTTTTTCCATCAAATTTTTGTAATTTTCCCATGCCCCCCCTCCAAGAACTTCTGGCCCTCCCCTCAGAAAACTGCTGGGTACGTGTCTGTCGCTGTCCATCCACGTTTTCGAAACAACCCTATAGAATTTCGACTAGCCTCAACAAATTCTTGACCGGTAAGGGCCGCATATATAAATGCCCATTCGTTCATATAACCAATTACTTTGTCGACTACTTCAAGAATACATCCCATGAAACAAAACAGAAAGTTCTCGTTGCGCTTGTCTTTTCTTGTAGTCGAACATAGAGCTTGAGGCTGTTGGTGTGGGTGCACATGTAGAGTGTGTGTGAGAATGTGAGTCTTGTTCTCATTCTTACACCCTCTTCCAAACCTCCTTATCACACTCCGACCCTCACCCTTATATTTCTAGAAAAAGTCATATTGCCTTGAGTTTTGACGATTAAAAGCAATCCAAGTCTCCATATCGTCTCAGAACTCTAACTTTGAACAACTCTGATTAGACAGTCTTAGAATATGTAGGGGGACTTCATTCTACAATGCATAGAACAGAAAGATGAGAGAGATGCTCTGGTTGTCACCGTCACTGTTACCTCATTGAAATGCATTTCTTATAGAGTTTTCCTTTCAAATAAGATATCGCTTGATAGAAAGTCCATAT